TCTAAAAAGGAGGTGCTGAAAGTGAGATTTACCCTCAGGTGATGGAGGGGTGGAACCCTCCAAGGTGAACCTTCTGAGGGTCTGAAGTAGAAGTCTTAAAAGCACATAAGTGATCTGAAGAGCTCAAGTCCCATTGAAAGTCGTTGAGAATTAGGTGCTTTTGACGGTCCTACCCCAGATTTATGAGAGAGGAACATATATGCTAAGGAAGAAAATTCTGTGCTGTGAATGATCAGTGGCTGCTGGAAATGATTTGTGCTGGTGTTTTGCACCAACGGGACATTGAGCACAGGAAGTCCAAAAGAGCCCAAGTCCCACTGCTCTGTTTCTATTTTCCTATACTTCCTTGAACATGCAATTAAAAGGTACTCAGACTCTGCTCTTGCAAATGCCCCTGTTGTGTAGCTTTATGCATGTGAGTAAAGTTACTTCATTATATAGGAGCTGCACTGTTGAGCAGCCCGTGCTGTTAAAAGAAAGAACAAAGATTGACTAAAATGTTAGTATAGATTGATGGTGGAGAAATTTTTGACACAGGAAAACATGAAACTCAATCTTCACGTGTATAAATTATCTTTATTGTTTAAGTATGTGGTCTTTATTTCTTTAGGCAAATTATGTAATTACCCTACCCACATCCTCTCTTCAGTCTGTTCTTATTTCCTGGACTCATTAATAAAAGATATTTTTCATTTCACTCTGCAGTCTGTTTTCACTAGAATGGCAGTTATAAAGGCCTTGGAGAAGATAAAAGAAGAGGATTTCCGTAAGTAAGTATAAGTTGAAACTGTAGTTCTTAGTATTAGGCTGATTCTATGAAGAATTAAGATGGGGAGGAAAATATTAGAGAGAAATATACCAGGATTGTTACTTGTTAAAAATCTACTGAGGTGTGCATGTATTGGTTAGGAAACGTTGCCTTTACTTGAATTTGGATGGTGACAGAGTATCGTCATTGTCTTTTAAAAATGTCTCTCAATGTTTGAGTTAGATCATAATGATCTGGGAAGTGAGCATGCTGGAAATGGAGACTGCTTCTCTCTCACCAAAGTTATTCTACGATTGGCATATTGCAAATTGAAAGCTAGGTTGTGACCCATAGAGTTAGGGTGACTTACTGCTGTTTTGTCCAGTGAGCATCTCAGGGAAAAAAGTATAGATCAAAGGGGTACAGGTTATCACTGCTCTTTGTTGCATCAGCAGCAAATTATTATGTGCGCTGCTGGCATAAAATTTAGAATGCTTCAAAAGGAAAATACGATACGATAGCAATACTGCCTGTCCCAAACATTCAAAAATCATGAGTCAAGTTCCTCAAAGTGATAAGCATCTTGTATATAATGAGTTAAATACATTTGGGGGTTTTTTGTCAGTCTTCTTGCATTTGAACCTGAAGTTTGTAGCTCTCAATTTTTTTCTAGCCTCAAATTCAAACCCTAACTTCTTCAAAAATGAAGATTTTTTTTTTCCTCCTTATTCCCTGACTTCAGAAGCCAAGGCTTTACAAAAAACATCCCCAACATTGAGACTAGGGATAAAATCATGAGTGACAAGATAGTAGAAATGATCTGATATTCACTTTGCTGTGAATTTTCACAAAAAATCATTGGTCTTTTCCCCCACCTCCCAAACAAAAAATTTATTAGCAGATTCTGTAGCTACTTTTCAAATAATATTAAAATTTTAATGATTTCTGTAGTATATACTACAATAGATTTTACTATTATACTTAGGAGGTTGTAAAATTACAATCTCAGTTGACAAAATAAATTATCAAAGTATATGTTGTAGTGCATTAGCTTCAGTTTTGTTTCGTGCCTATTCACTCACTTATCTGAAAAGGATTTCCCAGTCATTCATTTGGATTAATGAAGTTTTATATCATTGAGCTTTGTAAATTTGTAAACAGTTGCTCTGAATAACTTTTTCCTACAATGATTCCTTATCATGTTTTGAAATTGCTTGTCTTCTGTTTTTCTTTATGCAGGCATTTTCCATGTCCCCCAAATGCACCAAAGAACTTCTGCACTGTTGTGGAAATTCAGTGCACCAACAGTGCAATTTTTGTGGCTGGTAACCCTTCTTTTTTTGCTCTTTTTACTTATGTGTCTTGTAGTCCCTACTGCCAAATCAGTTGGATTCCTCCTTTGCCACCAAGAATAAGTAAAAGGAAAAAAATCACCTTATTTGCAAAAGTGAAACTGTTGAATGTCTCATGAGAGGAAAAGAGGTTACTTCACTGAAGATGTTGATGAATAGTATACACTGCGAGTCACTTTCTGTTAAAACCAAAACCTCTCGCTCATTCACATTCTGTGAATTAAAATTCAGGGATGGTTAAATGCTGTGGCAGTACCCATATCCTCTCATTGGACCTAGTGCCAGCTTGCTTGGAGGTGGCCGCTAGGCTGCTGTGCCTCAACCTTGTAATGCATGCAAGCTGAGTCAGGATTGTCTCTGCCTCCTCCTTAAGTTCAGGAGAGGGACTGTTTGCTGCAAGGAACTAGTGCTTACTTCCAGGCTAAGGTGACCTCCAGGCTTTCCCCTCCTGCTTTGCTGCTCTTTTGTTCCAGTAAAGCAGACAGGAAGAAACTGTTGTGAAGAAGCATGCACTTCCTTTGTACACCAACTGATTAAAGAGGCTCAACTGGAGGCAGCTTGGAAAGTTAAGAGCTTTGGCACTGAGTTTGAGGCCACCTTTACCATGGGAGGGTCTTTATCCTGTGAAGATCCCACAATTGTAAAATGTTCTCATGTGATGAATTTTTTGTTTGATTGAGATGCTCACAATTCAGTGTGAATGTAACAATATTTGTTGATTGGTATGAATAACAGCATTCATGTTAGGCCAAGCCTGTGATTTTTGCCTTGATTCTCAACACAAGTGTTGGGCTGAGTTATAAAACCAAGCTTGATGACCCAAATCCCTTTATAACATAGGTGAAGTGTGTATTTGAGGTTCTTGAATCTGGCCTCTACAGTTGTCTGTGCTTACACCACATGCCGTCAAGAGTCCATCATTCTCTTCCTGCATAGACAAGCTTGCCTTTGTGGGAGGAACTTAATGCAAAAAGACTGTGTATTATTGTTGTATGCAGATGGAATGCTTAAAGTAAAAAAAAAAAAAAAAGGAAAAAAGAGTATAAAACAAGAATATCAAAAAGTCACTTCTCTTGACAAGTCATCTTAGACTATTGATACTTATAATCTGCCCAAAGAGTGCTTTAATGGATCCAAAATAACTTAAGTCAGTTGGTTGTTGAGGCCCTTTGCAAGACACGTCTATTGACGTAGGCTGCTGCCTCAAGGTGGGCCTTGAAGAGAGATCAGATGGGTTTAGTGTTGTGAAGGAGAGCTTGCTTTGTTTTTGTGATCCATGGCAAGGCCACCTCTCACCATGGGATAGGTCCCCCTCATCCCCCTCGTCCCTCTCAATTACTTTTATACAGTAGTGTCAGTGACAGGGGGTTCTAGTCTCAATTTGTGCTGGCATAAATCCCTAGTTGAGCAAGTCCACTGACTACAGTGGACTTAGTCTGGTGTGACAGAAGTGTAAATGAGACCGGTTTTGGTCCTCACTTCTGAGGACTTTTAAATTTTGCATTTCCTGATTCTTTTAACTTTGCAGTGTTAAATGGAAATATCACACTTCTGATGTTTTTTTAAAGCCACGATTGTCACAAGTATCAGTGGAGATTATTTGAACTGAAAGAGACGAGAGCAAAATACTATTTCTCTCTCCCTCTTTCATTTATTTTGAGCAAAAACACTGTCAAATGCACATAGTAATTTCATTATTTGTGTGACAGAAACAGCATTAGTCAGTTTCCCCATTTGTTTGCGTGGGTTTTTTTTCTTTTATAGAGCATGATTTGGGGGAGGTGAAAATAGGAAAATGTGATCGTAAACCCACAAAAAATTGGCATGAGAGGCAGGTATGATACCTGTAACTGCTTTGAAGTATTTTTAATTGAGATTTCAAACTGAAGAAGTCTCTTTAACTTTACACTAATGTGGGAGTTTTGTATTTTGGAATTTTTTTAAATAAATCAGTTCTTGCCATTGCTCATATTCATCTTTCACATTAAAATTGGAGGTAGAAATGTATCTTTCTCAAATAATCTGTTCCTTCTCCCTGCCAAATCAGGATTGTTCCCTGATTGAGTCCTCTTTATGGTCTGTTAACACCAGATACAAGTCTGTGATTGGAAGCTGGCAACTCTGATTTATAGCATCTTTCAGGATCTTGAATTTAGGTTTTCATTCTCCATTGGAACATCACACATTTCTCTGTTTTTGTGTAGGTATTTGAACTGTTACAATGTCCATTTTAAAATAGAAATATGAGCTTTTTGAGTCAAGGAAGCAGGAGTGTGAGAGGGTGTGTGTGGGTGGGTGGTCTGGGATGTGGGAGACCCGGGTTCAAGTCCCTGCTTTCTCTCATATTGAGAGGAGCTTTTCATCCCAGATTAATCCAAGATCAAACACTTGAACTTGGGTTGCTTGCACCCTAGGCCAGTGTCTTAGCTTACAAGCCGTGTGTCTGTGTCAAAGGTGTGGCTGCAGAGGTATAGACATCCATGAGATCTCTCTCAGTCGGGTAGTTCAGGTGCTGATAACAGTGTAGGCAGGGCAGCATAGAGCTCAGTGCTGGATAAATGCTGTAGTATTTACTCAGTTTCTCAAGTGGGGTTTGCAGCCCATGCTGAGTTCCATGCTGCTGTGCTGTTATCAGTAACTGGCATGGCCTGTAACAGCTGCAGTCACTGCTTGCTTTCAGTGTGGGCATACCCTGAAACTTTGCTGAACTTGACACATCTCAGGGAAATGTTTTTGCTTTGATGAAATGATATATGACAACTCTGAGTGTGACATCTCTTGCTGTCAACACTCATGCCTATCATCACAATTGAGAGGGATGCCACATTTTCCTACTTCTGTATTAGTATATAGATGTATAGGAACTAGAAATCAAAATTGTGGTCCCCATGGCAACTGTAACTGGAGACTCCTTATGCCTACGTAGCGTTTGAGTACCTGGTGCTAGCTGTAATAATTTCTCATGTATGTTGTATTGCTGAGTTACATTTGCTATGGAAACCTTAAGTTTGAATTTCCTGTCTCTCAGGGTAAGACCTCAGCTGCATTGATGTATTATATTTTCCAGCTGATTGCTATTTTTTTAAAGAAGAAAATATGGTAGGCTGCACTAATAAATATAGTAGTGGCATCCAAACACCTGTGTAAAGAACCTAATGGTTGCAGAGTCAGGATCCCATATGTGTGTGCATTCTGACATAGTCTTTAATCACAGGGAAATATACTGTTTTTTAAAAGGTTTCTGTTTCATTCATGAGGAATCCCTGTACAGTATTTCTTTTTGTCCTCTTCATTCAGGATGTGTTCCCAGACTCCATTTAGCACACAACATCCCAAACCTGCACTGAACACCATAGTGTTGTGTTCCTCTTAGGTGCTTCCATAGTGCCCTATCCAAGTATCTTCATCAGGGGTGGGCAAAATGTGGCCCACGGCCTGGATCCAGCCCGTGAGGCCATTCTATCCAGCCTGCGGGGCCTCTAAAGAATTTAGAAAATTAATATTTCTCTGGCCTTGGTTCCTGTCAAAAATGACAGGAACTTCTGGCCTGGGACCATGTGGCTGCCCCGCACCGGAATCACAGATAAGGGGGAAGTGGGGGGAAAGGGCAGTGGGGGACCCCGTGCAGGGAAGGAGCCCAGACAAATATGGCCTGGGGAAAAGCTGAGCCCGGGACAGGGAAGTGGCCCCTCACCCACCCTGTGGCCAGTGCCCCGTGCTGCAGCCGCTTGCAGCCCGCCTGGGCCTGCCTGTGCCTGCTCCAGACAGCGCCGCACAGGCTGCGAGTGGCTGCAGCAGGGAGCGCTGGCCATGGGGCGGGGGGTCGCTTCCCCCTGCCCCATGCTCAACTTTTCCCTGGGCTCCTTCCCTGCTCCTTCCCGGCATGGAGGAAAGAAGCTCCTCCCTGCCCCATGGCCGGCACTCCCTGCTGCAGCTGCTTGTAGCCTGCGCAGGGCTGTGCCTGGGCTCACAGGCACAGGCAGCCTTATGGGGGCTGCGAGACGCTGGCCATGGGGTGGGCACATGGCCCCCCCCACGCTCAGCTTTTCCCTGGGCCACATTTCCCCGGGCTCCTTCCCTGCCACTCCTCCCCCCCCCCACGCTCAGCACCACCTTGTAACCTGGCTCTGCTGCCAGCCTGGGCCCCGTGCTCACCCGTCAGGGCTGCGCATGGCAACAGCAGCTGTGGCTCTCTTGCTTGCTGTGCCAGGCAGTGTTTGGGCTGCCTAGCATGTGAGCTTGGGGCAGACAGCAGCAGCCAGCCCTGCCCAGCAAGCATGGGAGTCGCAGCTGCTGCTGCTGCGTACAGTACGACGGGTGAGCCCAGAGCCAGTGCAGGGCCCAGGCTGGCAACAGGGCTGGGTTACAAGCTGGTGCTGAGCGTGGGGAAAAGCGGCCCCTCATGCACCCCGTGCCCGGTGCTCTGCGCTGCAGCCACTTGCAGCCCATGTGGGGCTGCCTGTGCCTGCTCCAGAGAGCCCTGCGTGGGCTGCGAGTGGCTGCAGCAGGGAGCACTGGCCATGGGGCAGGCGAGGGGCCGCTTTTCCCCGCGCTCAGCACCAGCCTCTTCTCTGTCATCAAGCAGGGGGTCAGGGCTATGCACTGCCCCCCATGTGTACCACGGGGCTGGGAGGCACTGGGAGTGAGTGGGTGGGGAGCCAGCAGGAGCACAGGGCCCGCACTGGTATCCTGGGGCCAGCACTGGTGGGGCCCAAAGCAGGGTGGCAGGAGTACAGGGTCCCAGCCAGCAGGGGCTCTATGAAGCCGGGACAGCTCCCTACTCTCCTTGCTGGTGCAGCCCAGCCCAGCTCCACAGACCCCTGCCAGCCTGTGCTGCTCTGTAGGCCCACCAGTGCTAGCCCTGGGACATTGGTCCCAAGATGGTGACCAGGGAGCAGGGCACCTGTCAAGTGGCGGGGCTACCCATGCAGCCCTTGACAGCCTGCCAGTACTGGGTAAATGGCCCTCCACCCAAAATAATTGCCCGCCCCAATCTACTTTGCAGCGCTCCACCCAAAATAATTGCCCACCCTTGATCTATGTTTTAAATAATAAACGTTGGTGATGTTATTTTTGCAAAAGCCCCATGGGATTAGATGATCATACTATGAAATACTTGGATTCAGAAAGCCCCGCTCGTTATTTCAGTTCATACATGGAAAACTACTTGTTTTCTGACAGGACGATACAACAAATATTCAAGGAATTTACCACAGACTCCATGGATTATTGATGGAAAGCGAAAGCTGGAATCTTCAGTGGAAGAGCTGATTTCAGAGCACCTAATGACAGAATTTAAAGCAGACAGTGAGTGTCAAAAGATTTTGTCTGATTAAGTATTTTCCTTAGTTGGTGGAACAACTACCACAGCTGCTCCCTTTGGTAGCAGTCACTACAGAAAGGCCTTCCAAGGCTTATCCTTCCTTGGCTTCCACGTTGCCCGAGTTGTATATAATTGGATGCAATCTTTATTTTGAATGGCATTATTGCCCCTTTTTTCAAACAGCTCTTCAACTGATCCTATAGGTTCAAATGGATCTAGTGTGTATAGTTTTTTATTGCACGCTATGGGACACTCTTAATTTATAAATGAAAGCTCTTTTTACAAAAAATGAATTATCAATTAATGGTGAAAATATTAACCACCTGCATTGGTCTCAAAATTTATCCTTTCCCATAGAGGTGCACTGATACATGGGTCCAATATTGGATCGGCACCAATATAAAGAAAATTGATTGTATCAGAAATCAGCCTGATGTGGCTGATAATTTCGCGATAAATGCCTGTGCATATGCACAGCTGCTGCACCCCACATAGGTGTTGAGGAGTACAGCGCTGCAGCATGGAGAGCTGTATGCAGCTGGTAAGTCTGTTGTGATGGAAGGGGAGGGAACAGGCGTGAGGAGGCAGGTCAGTGCTCCCAGCAGTGAAGGAGGGAGTAGGGCAGGGGCTGGGGCAGGTGCTGCCCAGCCGGGGTGGAGCATGGGACAGAGCCAGTGCTCATCCAGGGAGTATGGGGGTGGGGATAGCTCCTGCTCCTGCACGCACCCCAGGAGGGCACTGGGAGGGGGGAACCTGGATCTGCGTGGGGTGGGCTGCAGTTGCAGGCTAGGGCCAGGGCTGCACCTGGCTCTTTCCAGCATGTGTGTGTGGGGCGGGGAGGG